GTCATAATAAAAATTGATAATTGAGTCGTGTGTTGAGTCTATAATTTAATGATGCATGATGATTGATTATTAGTAGCATGTTAGGTATTTTTTTAATTTATTTCGCAGCTTGTATGTACTCAGCTTTGCTGACTGCGTGCTTTTGTGTGTGTCTTTCTTTGGTCATGGACTTCGCCTTTCAATGACCCTGTGAAGATCCAATTTTTATACTTGTAATATTGAGGAGCAGATTAACCACAGGTTCTTACACATGCAGCATTCGCATCAGGGTTGTGGGATTTTGAGTGGAGAGTTGGTTATTATTTGCAGTTTATTTCTTTTCATAAGTTTGAATTTATTTAAACTCTAGTTTTATTTATTTATTACTTTTGTGGGGTTTTGAATAAGGGCCTTAATGGTTCCAAGTTGTATGATTTAATTTGGTTTTGGTTATTGGTTTTGAAACTTATTTATAACTGAATTAGTTTTTCCGCTGCTATTTTCTGATAAAGTCTTAACGTTTGAACACGTAGCGGTAGCACGCCAGTAATTCTCTTGAATATTGTTCAGGGTCCTCACAGATTTAAAGAGAGAATTATTGGGGTGTTACATGTGCAATATACAATTTTCATGACATATTGATCTTCACTATTATTTTTTGCTATTTCATTTTTTAAGATAAATCTAAGGATAAAATTATTTTAAAAAAAACAATTGATATGTTAAAATTAATAAATTTATACGTAAGAAATATGATAAAACTCGGTAATTTTATTTTCAAGAACTTATACTCTGTATAAGAATACAAAGACTATCTAAATAAACAATCAATATAATAAAAATCAAATTAAATTTAACAAAGATAAAGTGTGTAGAATATTATTTATGTTTTTTTTAATGTTATTTTTTTATTTCATTATGATTTTTATGTCTCCTAGTTTAGAAAAATGAAAAGACAAAGAATCTTTAGTATAGGTATAGCTTCTGTACTGTTATTTTGCTTATGTGATCAATGAATTTTTTTAATTCTAAAAGACTTTTGCATTGATATTATTAGAGGTGAGCAATCTGAGCATAATAGGGTATCTTGTTTAAATTTTTTGGAACATAAAACAGGTTTCTAAAATTGAAAATCAAAACTGGAACCTATTGTTCCGGAAAATTGGGAATCGGAATCGAACCCTGTCTTTTTTATATTTCGTACTTTTTTTGAATTTTTTTTAAAAAAAATTATAGGGTCATAAATTTACAGTTTGCAAATATAACAAATCAAAAATAGTTGTTTACCAAATTTAATACATATAGTTTCTAACAATTATTTTTATTTATGTTAAGTAAAAATTAGGCTTAAATTAATATATAATTTGGGCTTAAGTAACAATTTTATTAAGTTACATGGTACCCTACACGTTATGGTTCCAAATTTTGAGAACCATAACCGAAACTAATTGCAATAGGTTCTCTATTTTACTACCTGGAACCAGAACCTCTTGTACATGTTTCGGTTTTGAAACTTGAGGTTCTGAGCAGGTTCCGGTTCCGATTTTGGATACTGATGCGGTGTCGAAACGCACACAAATTAATAATAATTACCCTAAAATACTAACTTGTAATTAGCGAAAGTAGGGGTCGATTCCACGAAGAATGTGCTTGCAAATAACTAAGAATAAGATCCAAAACCCTTAACTAAGACTAAAAAAGTAAAAGAACGAGTGGGGGGAGTTTAAGAATAAAGAACAACTGACAACTAGGAACTTAAGCTAACAAGAACATATAAGGAACTTGAGATACTCAACAACTATATATAGAAATACACCATGCAAATGTATAATCACAGACATATTATTTAACCCTTTAGATAAGGAACTTTCACTAACCCTAACCAACCGATAACCCCTATACTACGAGGGGGGAATTTAACTTGATGACAACATTGAGAACTAGGAAAACATCAAGCCAAGACAACAACAACACTCCGGAACTTACATGATTTGGCCTCGATCAAGAAATAGTTTTCAATTAATAGAGTGGAGCGCCCTCCTCTACAATTGTTTGCTACTCGATTAATGTTCCCAAAAAATTACGGACTTAGTAGTATTAATTTAATTAGCAAAATAAATCAGACCCAAACAAATAGTTGTACACCTACTTATAAAAAATTATCATTCGTATGAACAAAACAATAATTCAAGAATACTCCAAAGCATTAATCATTAAAACCAACAATACTCGTCTCAAATACTTAATACATGGCTTCAAACTAATAGTTACTGAGCATAATAAGCTAAGGACTCATAACACAAAGATAAGAAAAGAAAACGAAACAAGAGATTCAGATCTGAGTTCCTCTCAGGCAACTTCGAGTTCAATTCCTCCGATGCAATGTATCACGAACAGTGACGAACGACTCCTAACCCTTGAGGGGTTTTGGAGTGAAGCTTCCCTTTTCTCGCCTCTCTTGCGTCTGTCTTTTCTCTATGATTTCATGGCTTTAAATAGGCTAAGAGATAATTGGGAATCTTTCAAAGATAAGGAAAGTAATAAGATAAGATTGTGAAAATATATCTCTTTCCATATCTTAACCGATTGATGAGATCTTCTCTTTAATTTATATCTTTTCCAACTGCTGTAGATCTTGTGAATTAATACCCAAGACTTTCCAATTCAAATTCGTGGATTCAAATTCGTAGACGAACAAAACGTGCCCAACAAGTTGTTTTCATCTCCGTCAGTTTCTCAAGTTCCTTCGAAGGAACTTCCATTTGCGTTCCAAATTGGCTCCTTTATTTGGTTATCTGTTTATCTTATAAAACCACTCAATAACCTATAAAAACACACAAAAGAGAAACAACCCACAAAATATCAAAAACCTAAATAAAAACACTAAATGCTCAAGGAACTAACCTAAAATCTAAGGAACATATATATAAAATAGTGTCGGAAATGACACTCATCAGATACCTTGAATTTTTGCTCACCCCTAGATATTATAATAAACTATCTAAGAAAATAGCATGGTAATGGATTTTTTTTCCTTAACCATGAGATTGATTGGAGTTATTAGTGCCTTTTTAGTTTTTTTTTTTTTAATAGCAAAAATATTTTATTAATTAAAAGTCATACGACATCTACAATAGAGATTCGACGTTAACAAATACATAAGATATTGAATCAAATAGAATTTTCCTTCATAAAAACTACGATCGTCGAGTAGATCTTGCACTGCGGAGCATCTCCCACTTATATCGCTGAAAATTACAGCCTTGTTGAAGAGACAATCTAACGATCCTTTATAGTCTTGAGGATGTTTTCCTTCTGATTCATCTGTTCGTATTCGAAAACTTGATAACTTTTTCACCAACGAAATCATTTCACGACAATCCATTAGATCTGCTACCATGGATTCAAAACTAAGAAATTTCTCCCTCGAAAAGAGGAGATAAACCTTGTCTTTCGAAGGAGGTCGAAAAACCCTTGTCTTTCGAAGGAGATCGGAAACCCTTTCTTTCGAGGGAGAAAAGTTCCTCCCAAAAGGAGGAAGCATTATTATAAACCTAAAAAAACAATAAAGAAACAAGGATTGGGGTTTTCCACTGATTAAAATCGATGGAAGCCCCTTCAAAAATCAACAAAGGAGGCTAGGGTTTTGGAGAGAGAAAGGAGGAGAGAGATATAATGATATTATAATTAATTTGCTACATTGATTAGCGCCTTTTCAGTTACGTAGTAAAAAAACAATATACATACAATAAACCAATTATGTCATACTTTTAAATTTTCAATTACGTAGTAATTTTCAGTTACGATTAACAATTATGTCATACTTTTAAATTTTTTTAAAGAGTAAAGATCAACCAAGAGACATCAATATACATAATCATACTTTTCATTTTTTTTTAAATATTTGGTGATAAAGAGACATAAAGGTTGATGATGAAAATTGATCCTAAGATACCTTAGGGCCTGTTCACATTTACTTAATTTCAGTTCAATTCAGCTCTAATCAGTACAGTTCATTTCAGCTCCTAATTTCCTTCTCTCATAAAATATTTATTTCAGCTCAGCTTAATTCAGCAAATGTGAACAGGCCCTTAGAACCAGGAAGAAAACTTTAAGCCTCTAAGCTCTAACCACTGCTCTCATTAATATATATATATATATATATATATATATATATATATATATATATATATATATATATATATATATATATATATATATATATATATATATATATATATATATATATATATATATATATTATACAGTACTTGTGAAGTGCATATATACACGATTTGATATTACATTAGTTGATATTTATTTTCTTGTAGTTTATTGAATTAGATATATATAGCCGGAGTAATTAACAAGTTAGACTTAGACACTTATATTGATATACTTGCATCATTTAATATTTTCGACCCAATTATTACCCAATAATAGTTCAATACGGAGTAGTACTTTATCATTTTTTTTTTAGTTCTCGTGTTGTTACATTAATAACACTGAATATGAATCTTTTTTTTTTTTTGAATATGAATCTTATCTATCGATGAATTCTAGCCTTTTTTTGTTTGTTTGATGAAGTTTTAGGCCAAGATATTATGTAAGGTAAGTTTTGTCTTCACTTCAATTTGTTCTGATGATGAAACAAAATAAATCCACCATCATCAATCAAATTTCTGCTTAAAACAAAAATTGGCCTGACACTCTATTGTATGCATGTCTAAAAAAAAAAAAATACTTTTCCCATAAAAATTAACAATGATGTAAAAAAAAAAACCACTAATAACTCACAATGCATTAAGACACATGGTCCAGTCTTTTAGTTAGTACATTTTTGTCCATGAAAAACTTTCGGATAAGGGATTGTTTAAATCGTAATTCAATTTTCTAACGAGTGTTTATGGTCACTTGAAAAAAAACGTTGAAATTATTCCGAAAAAAATGGAAGTATTATTTCCTATTATTCAATTAATTGTTTACCTAATAATGCATGGTATCCTCGTGGCTCAATCAATTATACGCGGATTGCATCATTATTCACTACTTTGAAGCACCCTTTCATATTCTTCTTTCTATAAAAAGCAACATAAACACTCCTTTCCATAAATAAATGGAACTTTCATGTTAGATTGTTTGTATCCCCATCTATCTTTTTTGGGGATTTATTAAAACAAGCTAATTTCACATTCAAATAGAAAAAAAAAAGGTTGCATATATATTTCAATTACACAAAATAAAATAAAAATGGTACGACCAATAGAATTATTCATGTACATATCTTTATTTTTCACGAATTTTTTGTGTACCAAATGTATTTCACCACCACCTCTTGTTCCTGCACTTTATATTTTTGGTGATTCAATTTTTGATAGTGGAAACAATAACTTGTTGCCTACATTGGCTAAGGCTAATTACCCTCCGTATGGCCACGAATTTCCTGGAGGTATACCTACTGGAAGATTCACTAATGGCAAAACCGTTGTCGATTTCATAGGTATGTTCTAATAATTCTTACTCTCTATTAATTACACAACGTTTAATAGTCACATTTAAAAGGAGGGGGATTTGAACCTGTGACCTTTTATCTCGGTCTAAAACACTGAGCCAAGACTTAGCTTTATTATTGCTAACTTATTTAATATGAATTTGTATGAGTATTTGATTGACTTGATGATGAGTTTTGCTATGTATGCAGCTGATTATCTTGGACTGCCATATCCTCCACCTCGAATTGCTAGTTTATCAACACTGCTAAGATCAAAGTCGTATATGGGGTATAACTATGCCTCTGGATCTTGTGGAATTCTTATTGAAACTGGAAAGTTTATTGTAAGTAATTAAATCCATCTCCTTTAAATACTTATTTCTCCTATTTTTGGAATAATTTGGTTGAAATACACCATATGTTTGAATCGATAGGATGTATGTGTTAGGCATGGCCCTATCCATTATCGAGAGAGAGTCCACTTTACAATTCCAATTACAATTCCACTTTACATATCGAATAGGAATAGCCGCCCCTTAGCCTAATAAAAGTATTTGATTTTCTTTTCTTTCATAAAAGTGGAACATTATTATGTGTTGTTTGAACTTTGAAAGAGTATGTCTCAACGTACATATAGGAATATTGAAAAAATTATACCAAGTGTATCAATATTGTTTCATATAATATACAAATTCAACTAAATATACAAATAGCAGGACTTTGGTATGGTTTTCACTTAGAAAATATTTTGCTCATTTCATTATTTTAATGTGATATGATAAATTAGTACGTATATTTCTTATCATATTTGGCCCAACGTATCTACATCATCAATAATATACCTTAATACTATCTATATGAGGGTTAATTTATGAGAAATTGTTATATACACATGGACGTATGATGTAAATAATACTTATTTCTTATTTAGATGATTATAATTGTTTATTTAATCATTAAATAAAATGCAAAAACTAACATTGAATTAATTGGATGCACTGTACCATATACCTAGGTTTATATTAAAAAAATTCACTAATTTACATATCGATCACAACTCCGACCCTTAAAATATTTGTAATAATTATATAACCTTTTGAGATGTATATTAACGTACATATGCATGGTCAACGCAAATTGGAGTATTATTTGCAATACATACGTGTAGAATACTGCCTAATAAGCTACTTCGTAAGTATTATTTCCTCAAATAGACCTCCAAAGATAACGGAGAGATATAATATGAAGTACTATATTAAGTTTAAAATGGTCATTAATGGTGTAATCCACATGCATAGAAGATACTCGATTATTAGTGCATTAGTGGTGACCACTACTAGAATTTCGTCCATTTCCGACGGAAAAAATCTGTCGCAAACACCCTTAATTCCGTCGGAATACTTGTTTCCGACGGAATTCCGTCGGAAGTCGTCATCGAAAAAGTGTTTGTAGGAAAAATGACCTTTTCCGACGAAAATTCCGTCGGAAACGTGTTTCCGACGGAATTTTCCGTCGTTAGTGATTTTTCGATACCGGCATAATCCGTCGGAAATTTCCGACGGAATTTAAAATTCGTCGGAAATTGTCGACGGAAATTCCGTCGGAAAATAATTTCAGGAAATTAAAAAAAAATACGCCGTGCCACCACCGGCACGACGTATCACCACCTCCAACCACCCAAGACGCCCCTCTCAACCACACCACAGCCTACCCACCTTAACCGAAACACCACACCAAAACCCCAACCCACAGCCACCCCTGACCGAACCCCACCATACCCACACCCATCCCTAACCGAACCCCACCAAACCCACACCACCCAACCCAAAACCCAGCCACCCAACCAAACCCACACCACCCAATTACCCAAAACCCAGCCACCCCACCAAACCCACACCACCTAATTACCCAAAACCCAGCCACCCAACCAAACCCACACCACCTAATTACCCAAAACCCAGCCACCCCACCAAACCCACACCACCTAATTACCCAAAACCCAGCCACCCCTAACCGAACCCACACTACCCACCCCTAACAAAACCCCACCAAAACCCACACCACCCTGACCGAATACACTAACCAAGCCACAACCACCACGAAAATCACCATAATACGACCCAGACCACAGCCACCACCGAAAATCACCCAAATTTAGATCCACCACCACCGAAAATCATCCAAAAATTAAATAAAAAATCAAAATTAAAAATTAGAACGTACCTTAAGATAAAAAAACTTCGAAATTAACCACGAACTTGGTTTAACAAGGTCAAATTCGACCATGAAAACCCTAGATCTAGGATTTTCATGGTCGAATTTGACCTTAAAAACCATTAATTTGACTAACATCACCATAAACGACATAAAAGGAGGAGAGCTTGCTTGAGAAGAGAGTAAAGCTTGGCTGAGAAGAGAGTAAGGAGGAGGAGGAGAGGAGAGAGAAAGCGTGAGAAGAGAAAGAGGAGGAGGAGAGAGAGAAAGGGAGGAGAAGATCAAAAGAGGAAGAGATGAGAGGAGAGAGGCGGATTGTGAATGAGGGGGGTTGGGGCGTTGTTTTGTTATTAGGGTTTTGGGGTTTTTTCCTTTTTTTTTTTAAAAAAAAAAAGTTAAATTCCGTCGGAAACGGGTTATAATCCGTCGTAAATTATACCATTTTCGACGGAATTTTCTGTCGGAAATGGTATAATTTCCGACGGATTAAAAATCCGTCGTAAATTTATGACGGAATTTAATTCCGTCGGAAATTTCGTACTTTTCGATGGATTTTCTTGTCCGTCGGAACGGTTCCGTCGAAAATGACCTGTTTTCTTGTAGTGGACATAGAAAAATAAATAAATATATATAGTGAAAATTCATACTTTAATTTGTGCAATTCATCATGGAAGTTAATAATTAATTATGATCCATATGTAGACTTGTCAAATTTCTTTCAACTAACCTTAATTTCAAAATTAAAAACATTAGTATGTAAATATATAATTAAAGATATCAATGTTCACAGTACACCTGTCTTATTTATTTACAGGGCGAGTGTTTGAATTTGGATGAACAAATGGTAATGTTTGAAGAAACCGTGAAAAAACTGTCACGCTCAAAGTTCAAAACCTCAACGGAGCTATCCCAACACATGGCCAAGTCCATTTTCATTTTCTCCGTTGGAAATAATGATTACATCAACACTTATTTTGGCATTTTAAACACAAGATTGCAGTATAATCCTCAACAATTTGCACAACTCCTTACTAAGAAATTATCATTAAAATTAAAGGTGAGTTTATTATAATCTTTGTACTCCCTCCATCCCTAAATTACATTCCTGTTTCTAGCATTTATTCCTCACATAATAGAGAAAAACAGAAATGTAATTTAGGGACGGAGGGAGTATTAATTTTCCTTTTTAATTTGTGATATACTACATGATTGTACGTGACAACTAAATTTTGATTAACAGTAGTGCTGGATTTTTTGCCTTTAATTATGCAGAAATTATACGATTTAGGAGCGAGGAAGATTGTTGTTTTCGAGCTAGGTCCAATTGGTTGCATTCCATCAATTGTTAGGAAGGCCAAGTTAAATGATAAATGTGATGAAAATAAAAATGAAATCGTTAAAATGTTCAACACTCAACTTGCAGTATTGCTCAAGAGTTTAACTTCTACTCTTCAAGACTCACACTTTATTATTGGAAAAGCACATGGATTAGGGTATGATGCTGTCATCAATCCCACAAAATATGGTATGCCAACATTTTTTTAAAAAAATCTTTTTACGTGCCCAAATCATGATCAATTATTTTTGTTAAAGTAACTTGTGCATACGTAATATTATAGGGTTAAGCGACAGTAGCAATTCATGTTGCGACTCGTGGATAAATGGTACATTGTCGTGCAAACCGGGGAGAACACCATGCTCAAATCCCGATGAACATTACTTTTGGGATGGTTATCATCCAACTCAAGCAACTTATTCTGTAATTGCATCTCATTGTATCAATGGCTCTGATGTTTGCGTGCCTATGAATATTCAACAGCTTGTTCAAGTTTTAAACTCATTTGCTTGCATGGAGTCCTAATGCATGGACAATTACGTCAACATTGATAGATATAACGATTATTGACACATTTATTATTATTTGATTTATTGCGTCAATATTAATATTGTACTCTCTACTCTGTAATATGCCATAAATTGAAAAGCAGGATAAATTTTACAAGCTAAGTAACAATTTTGCATTCCACTTTAAATACAGTATGGATTTATCCTCGAGTTACTTCTCTTAGGGCACATGTTTACATTTACTAAAGTGAGCTGAATTGAAATGAACTAAATTTAATTTATTAGAACTGAACTGAACTGAATAGAGCTGAAATGAATATTTTATGAGAGAAGGAAATTAAGAGCTGAACTGAGCTGATTGGAGCTGAACTGAACTAAAATTAAGCAGAAGTGAACAGACCCTTAATGGAAGAGTCCAGCAATATAATCTTGCAGTTTGCTTTTGATGAAATTTAATGTATGGTACTTATTAGTTATTACAACAGTTGGAATTCATTCCAGCTTAGTAACATTTTACAAATATAAGAGTACTCCATCAAATTTTTTTAAAAAAATTCTCGTAAAAAAAAAGTGTTCAAAATCGTATGCAGTACGAGTATATAACTAATGCAAAATTTCAATTGTTGCAATTATTGACGAGTTATGAATTGAAACTTGTGGCGTAGTACATGTTACATGCAATGAAAATTATGTGTTATATGTGTGATGTGTCAACTTACTATGTATTTCCCTCTGTCTCCTTTTGGCCACGGGTGATGATCGATGTTATTGTGTCAATAATTGTTTAGGGTATTTTTACCCTAGACACGTGGACCAATGAGAGGTCGCCACGTGTCGAGCTTAGGATGGCCCATGTGGCTCAACATCCTCTTGACACTTGGCGCCCTCAGATATGTTTCCGAAATGGCGGCCTTTAAAGGCCTAGATTCCTAATCGCGCCGTAAAACGGCGCAGCCCACTAAAATCTAGGTCAAGTGACCTAGGTAGGGGCGCATTTTCCAACGACCCTATAAATAGGGAGATATTTCCCCACTTTGGGGGACACATTGAATCATTGATTACACCCTTATTCTCTTAAAGACCTGAGCTTGGAATCCGAGCAGATACCCACCTAAATTTCCATTCTCTCTATTCCGTTTCAAGTTACTGACTTGTGCGTCGGAGGCGGAGCACCACCCAACCGGTGTCTCCGTTTGTTTTGCAGGTACAACTCACTGCGGATCAGTCTTCGTATTGTAACTCTCCCAAGGGACAAAAACACCCAAAACATTTGGCGCCGTCTGTGGGGAGAGTACCTCGAAGATGGTTCAAGAGTCTGTACCACCCCTTAACCGTCTGGGTGAAGACCCAGAAGTTTTTACAGACCATGAGGATGAAGATCCTCGGGTCGAAACTTTTACAGCCGAAGACGGCTCTCTCAGAACTAAACACATCCGGCCCAGAGACACTCTGGAGCGGGGTGCCTCCCAGGCGGGTCCGAGCAGACCCCCTGGGCAGCCGGAAGGGGCAACCCAAACGGCAGCTGGATCAGCCCCTGTCACCCGAGACGAACTCATGAGGTTCATGACGAGTTTCAAGGGTGAAATTACAGAGCTGATCACCAGAAGCAGGGCTGGCCCAAGTAAAGGTCAGTCGGCGAAGAAGACTCCTCCAGAGAAGGGGAAGTCAGTCAGAAACCGGCAGCCCACTCCCCATCCAAAGGAGTAAAAAATTCTCCTTCCTGGAGGGAACACCAATAACACTCGCCGGCCTCAGCAGCCGGTGAGAAGTAAAAAATCAACTCTTGATGCCCGGGAGATTATTAACCGGAAGAGAAACCAATCGCTGTATGAGTCGGCTTCAACGTCGAACTTTCCAGACAGCTTCAACAACATCTCTGCAGGGAGTGCACCCTCCTTGCATGAGAGCCAGACAGGCGGTAATACCGTCCATTCTGGCCCTCATATGATTGGAGTCGTCCCGTATGTGCCTACTCAGGCTTACGGGCAGTATCCTCCTCACTTCATGCAGCCGGCCTTCTTTGGGGGTCAGGCGGCGTATTCAAATGTCCAGCCATTGGACTGGAAGCTTCGCCTGCTGCGCCTGGGTGAACAACCTTCTGCGTTCACTCGGGAGATAACCGAGGCGGCTCAGCCGGCCAAGGTTAAGAATGTGTTGGTTGGTACCTATGATGGTACCACCAATCCGGAAGACCACCTCATGGCTTACACCAACCTCATGTATCTGCAGGGGTAGGATGATGCCACTTGGTGTCGATGCTTCCCGGCTACATTGAAGGGCATTGCCCAACAATGGTTTGGCAACCTGCCAGCCGGGTCCATAGACAGCTTCAGGAAGCTTGCCTTCCTGTTTGCTTCCAACTTCTCAATGAACATCCCTGCTAAGAAAACAAGCCTTGATTTGAGCACTGTTAAGCTGGGAGAGAGAGAAGGGCTGCGCTCATATGTCAGGCGGTTCAACCTTATCAGAATTCAGATTCAGGGACTGTCTGATGAGGTAGCTTTTACAGAATTTTTTAAAGGTCTGAGAGACGGGTCGACCTTTAAGTTCGACCTAGTCAGAAAAGGGGCTTTCACCCTACACGCGGCCCTGAGGGAGGCGGAAAGCTACATTCAAGCGACCGACCTCTGCTCGCCTGGTAGCCAGTCAGACTCTAAGAAGTCTGACAAGCAGAGAGACAACCGGCCTGCTCAGCCGGCAAAAAAGAAAGAAGAGAGCAAGAAGAGAAAAGAGGTCTGGGCGGTTAGTGACTCTGACCAGCCGTCCCAGAAGAAGAAGAAAGAATTTAAACCGTACGTCCCTAAGTACGAGTTTAACAAGGACTGCAACTCCATCCTCATGGAGATAAAGGACCGGCTGTCCCTTGAGAAGCCGAATCCAATGAAAAGTTCCGTTCAATCTAGGAACAAAAATAAATTTTGCCAATATCATGAGGAAGTTGGCCATGATACCAACGACTGCTTCAGCCTACAGCGGACGTTGGACCGTCTGGCTGACAAGGGGATGCTGAAGTCCTATATTTCCAAGTCCCCAGCCGGGGTAAAAAAGAAAAACAAGGGTCAGTCCTCCAAGACTACCCCCCAGCCTGCTAGTAGTTCGGATACCGACAAGGAGCCGGTCTACACTATAGTAGGCGGGTTTTCATGTGGTGGCCCTACCATCAGGGGCACCAAGAGCCATCTTCGAAAGATGGACAAAGATGATGATGAGCAGGCAGAAGCCAGCTCCTCCTTCCCAGACGTCTTAATCACTGAGAAGGACAGGGGCAGCGTCCGCCGCCCGCATGATGACCCGGTGGTCATTGAATGTAAGGTTGCCAACCAGCTGGTTGGACGAATCCTTATTGACACCGGCAGCTCATCAGACATCATCAACCTCCGGTGCTTGCAGAAGCTGAAATACAATATCAGCAGCATGCATCCGGTCACCTACCCCTTGGTTGGTTTTGGGGGTGGGATGGTCTACCCAGCCGGAAGAATTGATTTACCCATCCGGCTGGGGGAGAAAGGCCAGGGACGACATATTGTCGTCAGATTCTTGGTCGTTAAGGAGCTGACCGCCTATAACATTATTTTAGGCCGGCCAACCCTCAACGTAGCCAAGGCAGTAATCATCCCATCTCTCATGCTCATCAAGTATGAGAAGGATGATGGCACTGTTGGTTCCCTGAATGGGGATCAGAAGACGGCTCGGGAGTGCTACCTCTCAGCCGTCAGGGACACTGTAACCCCAAGTGTCCAGGAACCAATAGACCTTGACAATGTCAAGGATGTCGATCCAGCACCCGCCCCACCAGCAGCCGGTAAGAAAAGAAAGGCACCTCTGCTGGTGGAGGTGAAGAAGGAGAAAAATAGCAATCACTGACCGGTGAGCGGTCAGATGAGCTCCGTCCCCAACCGGCTGGAGAAAGCATTGATCTCGTTCTGGATAACAGCCGTCCAGAACGTACTGTTAAGGTTGGGACGGTTGCTCATGCTACTTTGGGTGCAAACTTGCACCTTCTGCTGAAGGAATTCAAAGACATCTTTGCCTTTGAAGTGGAAGAGATGCCAGGCGTCAGCCCGGATCTCGATGTCCACAAACTCGCCGTGGACCCCAAAAAGAAGCCCATCCGGCAAAAGAAAAGAAACCACGGCGAGGAAAGAAGTCAGGCGGCAGCTGCCAAAGTCAAAAAGCTGCTAGACGCCAGGTTCATTCGGCCTTGTAATTTTCCCGACTGGGTGGCCAATGTGGTCCTTGTTAAGAAACCGAATGGGACCTGGCGCATGTGTGTTGATTACACAGATCTCAACAAGGCGTGTCAAAAGGACAGTTATCCGCTTCCAAAGATCGACAGTCTGGTCGACTCTACAGCCGGTCACGCCTTGATGAGTTTCATGGATGCCTACTCCGGCTTCCATCAGATACCCCTGTGGAAGAAAGATCAAGAAAAGACGGCCTTCGTCACTGATCAGGGGCTATTCTGTTACACGGTGATGCCGTTTGGCTTGAAAAATGCGCCGGCTATATTCCAACGGATGATTAACACTGTCTTTGTTAATCAAATTGGGAGGAATGTAGAGGCATACATTGATGACATGATAGTCAAATCTAAACAGCAGACGGATCACCTTGCTGATCTCCGAGAAACCTTCACCACACTCAGGCGGCATAAGGTCATGTTAAATCCTAAGAAATGCGTCTTTGGTGTTGAGTCTGGGAAGTTTCTCGGATTCCTGATTGATCAAAGGGGGATAGAGGCTAACCCTGAGAAGATACAGGCGGTGATTGACAAGAAGTCACCCCGCACTGTCAAGGAAGCACAGAGACTAACCGGTTTTCTGGCCGCTCTGGGGAGAATCCTCAGCCGGTCAGGTGACAAATGTCTTTACTTCTTCCAAGCAATCAGGAAGAAAACCAGATTTGAATGGGGGGATGAGGCTGAGGCGGCCTTTCAACGGCTGAAAGAACACCTCCACTCTTTGCCAAGACTTGTTAGTCCATTGCCTAGGGAGGTATTATACATGTACTTAGCTGTCTCAGATCATGCCCTCAGTGTCGTTCTCCTTGCTAAGAGAGACGGTGTTCAGCTTCCGGTCTATTTCATTAGCCATGTCTTAAAAAATGCTGAGCTCTGGTACCCCATGGTAGAAAAA